ATTTGTGTTCAAGTTTCACTAAAAAATTCCATTTGTTTGTTTGTTTTTGATACAGGGTCTTGCTATGTAATCCAGGCTAACCTTGAACTTACAGGATCCTTGTGCCTTAGCTTCCTGAGAATTTGGATTATAATTGTGCACCACCACTCCTGGCTTCACTATCAATCTTATCATAATGGTATACTACTTTGTTTTTCTTTCTCATATAGGAGGCCAATGTTATGTCTCTCTCAAATCCAAAGATTTTACTATACATTTCTCTATTATGAACTTGCAGTATTTTTTTCAGGAGTCTCTACTTTGTTATTGTGAATAGTTCCTGCACTGGTTTACCGGTTCTCTTTTAGCAAATGTAATACCAATGGGTAACAATTGAACCAGTTGTCAAATATGACATTTGAAATATTACATTTTGAAATAGGTGCGACAAATTCATACAGTTTATTACTATATGAATAAAGACCTGTTGGCTGAGTTCCAGGGTAAATTTTAAATTCAAGGTATAAAATGTCTTTGTGTCTAGTAGAGTATGTATTTTATATCATATTTAGAAGGCTTACTTGGCATATATTGCCAAAAGCTTCAACAACCGTGAAATGATGCAAGTGGTTCAGTTGTCATGTATTCAAACAGTGTATAAATTCTTGGCAGTTTGGAACAAAGCTTTAAAAAAATGAGCAAATAGCAGCCAAACTGTTTTTCATTTCTTGGTGGGTCTTTGTTGTCAAAATTTAGGCAATTTTGAAGGAAACTAAGTGCCTTGAGTGTCACTATTCTTCTAAAAATCTCAACCACATCTGTCACTTCTCCATAAATTCTTTAGATTCTGATAATTTAGAATGATAAAATCCTGCTCCTAAGACTTTTAGTTCAAAGAGCGAGATATCATGACAAATATATTTTGAGTATTATTATTGATACATATAGAATATTTAACTTGTATTTCGTTATTAATATATTTCAAAACATCTTGTATCATGTCATGCATTACAAACAAGTGAATCACAGTGTTGTCATTTGTCCAATAGGTTTCATGCATAGCAAGAATCTAATAACATTTACTGACCTAGTTCTAATGTTGGATTGTTTGGATATGCATGATCATTTTGTAGCATTTTGACTAATCAAATATTTATTTACATTACTGTTTTCTTCCTCATCTAAATCAAGGTCCTCATTCTGTACTTCTCTATCTGTCATATCTTGCTAACTTCTTTGGCTGACTTGATCCAAGTCATCATTGGTAGCCAACTCACCTGATGACTCACTTTCAACCTCCTCCTAAAGTTGTAAAAGCAGATTTTCAGGAGACATTTTACTGAACTGGGATAATTCTATAAGAAAAATCAAAAGAATACATTTAAGAAAAAAAATTGTACATATACAAAAATGTAACATGTTGCACAACAGGCGTAAAACTCTCCTGTTTACACTTTGACAAACTTGCCCAAAGCAGAATTTAAAGAAAAACAAGTTATTCCCAGCCTTGGGCAAAACTCCTTGGGTCACCCACCCCCAGCTCTGTAGCTGTAATTCCTTGTTCTGGTAAAGACAAAATGGACAACTGTGTCCTGTAAAAATTTATGACAGTCTGTTCTCATTTGATTCATAAGGCTCTGTTCTCTTTCATGGCTAAGTTACAAATTTGTCTGCCTTTTCTTGTTTCTAGAAGTTCTCTTGCTATGACACTAAAAAGACCATCACCCTTCAATCAAATGTATACAAAGTAAAACTTTTTATTGCTCATGGCTCTTCCTTTGGACATCAGTCGTTGAGCTTGTGTTCACCTAAAGCCTGAAATAAAGTTCTCCTGATTCTTATTGGTCTTTCCTGTTTCTTGAATTCTGCAACATGTGTATACCTTGCTGTTCATCATAACAAGTAGGTAAACACAAAGATTGCTTCCTGTATTCCCCCAGTGCAGCTACTGAGATGCACAGCCAGCTACTAGTATGCTAAAGTACATGTTTTCATTAGAAACTATGGGTGTCTGTGATCTTGAGTAAGGAACTGAGAGGCTACCTTTCCTCCAGTGCAATTTTTTTGACCCCTTTGTAAAAGATCAGATAGCTAAATGTGCATTGGGGCTGTTTCTGAATCCTGTATTCTATTCCATTGATTCATGTATTTGTTTTTGTGCCAGTGCCATGATGTTTTTTATCACTATGAAGCTTCCCTTCAGCGAGATAGCATGCAACTATGGAAAGGGAATGGTCCTTTATTGTTATGAAAAACTTCCCAAGATATGTTTACTGAAAAGAAATTTCAAAAACAACGAAGTGGTTCTCTATTGTGAAGGGAAAGTGATGGGAATTGTAGGGGATAGATTAAAGTGAGATTTTCCACCATATCCATATATTTGTTTTCATAACTATTTAATTTATAACTTGCTGAAAATTAAGGTAGAAATTTCCACTTAATTGTCCATGTGTTCTTTCATTTTCAGAGGGGATTTTCAGAGGTGGCTGGATCTAAAGTGTCTGATGCTGGAATTGATTCATAGTGCAATGCTAAGGGTGCTAGGATGAAGAGTGTGAGTGCTACTTACCCTAAGGGCAGGTAGTTTGAATACAACATAAAGGAGAGAAAGAGGGTTTGTTTTGGGGGTCACTCTTTTGCTTGCTTTTGCTGTCTTCTGCCTGCCATGAACTGTTTTTCCGCTGCAGTGCCCCTCTGCCATCCACCCTGCCTTGGAGCCAGCTGATTATGAACTGAAACCTCTAAAAACTGAGCCAACACAAAGTTTTTCTCTATTTTTTTTTTTTTTTGAGACAGGGTCTCACTATGTAGTTGAGATTGACCTGGAACTCACTATGTAGTCCAGGCTAGTCTCGAACTCACAGCGATCCTCCTGCCTCAGCCTCCCCAGTGCTGGGATTACAGGCATGCACCACCACACCCAACAAACTTTTCCTCTTTTAACTTTGGGTGTCAGGTGTTTTTGCCCCAGCAATGAGAAAAGTAAATAAGACATAATTAAAGGTCAGAAATTTTGACTCCATTTTGGTACCAAGCATTTTATTGTTGCAGAGGTTTCACAGTGAGGGGACCAATGTTCTCAGATATTTAACGTATTTTTCAGAATATGCAAACATCTGCACTTGCCAGTAGTTTCAAAATAACAGATCTTTCCTGTTCTCTTGAGGATCTCCGATATGATATAGGTGTCTGGGTGGGCTAACAATTACTGTAGCCCAAACATAGTCACCTGGGAAGGACAGGAAGAGAAGCTGTTTGGGAAACTGATAGAGGGGCATCACATTGAAAGGACTTACACACAAATAAGCTGAAGAATTTGGAAAACAGGAACTAAAGACTGGAGGGTGGTAACACCAGGACTTCAATCAGAGTGAGAGAAATAGGACGGTAGATAGAATATCATGATTTCAATTGAAGTAACAATTGCGGAGGCCTTTTCTCCTTTTGTTCTTCTCAGTTCCCTTGCCTCCTCTACTTTTTGGGTAATAGAAAAGACCACACTCATCCAAGTAGTCTTCAAAGTGGCTGGGGTGAAGTGAGTGAACACAGAAATATCAGGAAATGTATGAAGCCTCGAAGGCAACAAAACAGGCAGTGATGACAGAAAAATAACCTGAGATCAGGAGTAAAAGCTGCAGCTCTGTCTAGTCTCTGTGGGTAGGCATTTAACTGTTAATTTAGTGTGTCCTATGGGCATGTCTAGGGGAGGAACTGGAGGAGGCAGCTGGCTAGGGACTGCAAGACAAATCCTTTTCCACAACCAGAACTGCATAGAATTTTCAAAGCAAGAGTTCATTTTTTTGGCACCACAGTTAAATTGGTTACCTCTACCTAGGAAAAAGAGTCTGGATTTGAATTTTGTTTGTGTCACATCTTACTAAATAAAGCTATTTCCCACTCATGCCCTGGCACTCTCTGATAGTTTGGGTCCTTGCCTGTAGGGTACATAAATCAGGGTTAGGAATCCCTTGCATGGCCTCTTACTGGTCACTAATTCAACTTTAAGGTTGGAAAACCCTCCTTAAGAGCTTAACCCAATAAGATTTAATATCTACCTTTCTGCTGAATGTTTACCCCACTTGTCCTCAGGGCAACTTATTAGACCGAGTGAAGGCACTAGATAGCTAGCAAAGGAAGACCTTTTTGTTTTGCTTTGTTTTGTTTTTGGATGCCAGTCTTTTAGCTTAAGTTGGAATATCCTTTAAATTGGCCTCTACTTTCTGTTGTTTCAGATTTCTGGACCCAAGTGTCCCAGTGTTTATAATGGAAGCCCCTGCTTCAGTAAATCACTGGAGCTTTGTAGTGGCCTCCCACAGTTTCTGAAATTTGTGAGTGACTGCAGTTCTTTCACTGGGTTAGGGGTAAGGAAAAGCCTTGGAACTAAGTGGAACAGACTAAAGCCTACTTCAGTGAAGGTGACAACAGGACTGTGAAGATTCATTTGAAGAGGGTGCGGTACCACTGCCTTAAGTAGAGTTTGTATTCCATAGCCAGTGGTTCTCAAACTTTAGCTAATATCATATACTGGAGGGCATTTTAAAAGGCTGATTGTTGGGCTCTACTTCCAGTTTCTGATTCAGTAGGTCTGAAGTGGGGTCTGAGAATGTGCTGCTGGTCCAAAATCACATTTTGAGAACCATAATCTGGTATTACACAAAGGAATAGAGAGAAATTTTGCCAGCTCAGGCCAAAGAATCTAAGGGAACAGATTTTATTTACTGTTATTGCTCAGTCCTGCTCAGCCCCTTTTAGTGAGTCCATGTAGTGATGGAAGGAACCAGTCTCTAGTCCCTCTAGGTCTGAATCAGGGTTTATTTTGTCCTTGATGAAAACAATAAACAGTGATTTGATTCCAAGAGTGTTGAAAAGGGCAGTATTATGTCCAAATAATCACCTCTTTAGCTCTTCCAATGGCATAACATTTAACAAAGGAAAATAGTTCTTTCCAACATTGAAGCTAAGGTTTAAAATGTAAATAACCTCAAGGAAAAGCTAACACTTCGGGTTAGCAAGGTATTCTTTTTATACTTAGGCAGTAAGGGGAGGATAGGTAGAATATAGTGTAGCACTACAAATGGAAAATTATGACAGGTTCTTGAAGATGGACTTTCCCAAGTTTTGGGGTTTTTTGGTGGTACGGGGGATTGAACTCAGGACCTTGGGCTTGCAAGGCAGGTGTGGTGCCATTGAGCTAAATCCCTGGCCCCCTATTTTAAGTTTTGACCAGAGCAAACACAGGCATTTTTTTTTTTATTTATTTAAAGGAAGTAAATGGCCATGTGGCATTAGTTTGGTGAATGATAAAAGTTTGAGGCTGATTCAGATTTATTCACTCATGGGATAGCTTTGCTTGTTTTATTTATTTATTTATTTTGTCCAAGGGATTGGTGTTGGACCGAGGTAGAGAAGACAATAGTACACCAGAAATGACCCAAAGGATTGCCCCTTCTGCAGAAGACCCTTAGACTCCACAATGCTTTTTAGCTGGGTGTTATAATTGCACCTACACTTATGGGGGTTCACTTTCTATCCCTACAATTACTAAAACAGATAAGGATTTGGAGGTTAACATGTAGTTAAAAGCATCTGACAATATAGGACATCACTTCCCACATGTTCTTAAAACAAAGTTTGTCAGATGTACTTGTCAGCATGTCAGGTCTTAAAAACATAGAATGTAAGGAATATCCTTCTAGTCATTAAACACCACACTGTATCTTCATACTCTGATGCCTCTTGAAAGTTGCTCCTTAAAATAGTGACCCTTGCCTTGTAATTCTTGATACACATATATAACCACATTGAATCAGGGTAAATCTCTTTGACCAGAGTTTACTGATTGAATTGAAAATGTATATTTTACTCAACCATGGGTTTCTGGTTCCCATCAGATTCTCAAACAGGTATGTGATCCAAAACAGGCTGCACTGGAGAGATGTATATAGAGCACATTTGTATTAAATATTGTATTAAAGTAGGAGGGTAAAAGAAATGACATAGTCCAACTTTAACACCGGAGCCCAATATTTTCCTCTTTTTCTTGGGCATTTAAAAGGCTCCCATCTCTGAGGACCCAGATAGGGCCTACCTACAAAGGGCTGGTCATTTTGCTTTCTTTGCAGGAACATAAGAGAATTATTTTCCAGGCAAAAAGGAAGTCTGCTCTCAATAACAGAAAGGAAGTTGGCCCGCTCAAATCACATAGTCTCTTAGCCATATCAGCAAAATGACACTATTTTCAATTCCTTTTGAGCCCAGGACACTGAGGAGCTGTGATTCACCCAGATTTTCCTAAGTAGATGGAACAGTAATGAAACTAGATTGTCGCAGTTTACTTCCTCTTGCCTCTCTGGTTAATTCTGCCAATTATGGTTGAGAGATAAGTATTTTAGAGAAAAACCAGGATCTAAGCATTAAAGTAAAAAAATCCCACTTTCATCCTCTTTGCTTCTTTTTCTCTAACCCTAAACTGCTTATCCATACAAAATAATTTTGAAACTATAAGATTGGCATCAACACAATCATCGATACAGAGAAACATGACCTCATGAACATATGCCAGAATTCTTATATTAGTCTTACTGTGGACACCTTAGAGTTAAAAGCTTTTTAGTGTGGACGCTTTCCCAGGATTCAGAAGAAAACCAATGAGAAAGCTCATCTGCTGAAAATCTAAGCAGGCTTTTCCCTGAAGTTTTGTTTCTGGGAGAATGAGATCTTTGAGAATAACTTCTCCCTTGATGAGGTGATCAAAGTCAAACAAGAGTGATGATGACCAACTTGCAAACACTATGTTCCCTTGCTAATTTTCAAGCACTGAAGACAAGACAAAAACCCCCAATCAGTATAAACCATATACATATGTGTACCTTGCCTGAAAACAAGAAACAGCTCATCTCACTGAAGACTTCTCTTTCTCTTCCCAGGTAAAAACAACTTGCAGCCCGGAGACTCAGATACAGACATATAAATCTACAATGTCTTGATCTCACTGATACTAGGGAAAATCTGTATACAACTTACATATCACTGAATCCTTTCCACTCATGTTCATCACTCAGCTTACTTCCTATCTCAAAATTAAAAGCCCCATACAGCCCCACTACCCTCATCCCTAGAACATAGCCCCTAGAAAACCTACCATGTACAATTTGCACTTAGCATGCTCTCTTCAAGGACCCTGCACACATATACACATAGACACTTAACAGTCAAGAGGACAGGGTTTGTTCAAGGAATAGTTTTTTCTTCTGTGTGGGCATGGATCACCGTGGGTATAGCTTTGTCTTTTAGCACTGTAGTATAACCTCTCCACTGGATAGAAGTATGTGCAGAACAATGGAGTAGATAAGGGGGTGAAAAGGTCATTCTTTTATATTTTTAGCAGGTAGGGGTGAGAGTGTAGATTTATATATATGGACGATGAGGTAAGGGTGACAAACCCACACAGGAATGACAACATCTGACCCACCCTGGCTTTCATAGGACTATAAGGGGTGCTTGCGTGCCTGATCACTACCTCTTTATTGTTTCCCCAGGACTTTGTAACCCAGCATTTACCAGAGTGTGCTTCATGGAGTCACCAGTTCTGTGGGATGTGAAATAGGATGCTGAGGTCACATAAATTTAGGAAACATTATATTAATAGAAGCTAGATTACTGCCAGAGTAATCGGAGCCTTTAATATGCTAAAATGCTCTTTCTCTATATACACATATATAGAGAATATAATTAGTTTGCAAGGATAATGCTCAAAATATTTAACAATGGGTACAGCATAGACCCCAGCCGATTAGAACTGACCTCAGCTGTAACTACCAATAACACTGTACCCTTGCAAATGGGCTCGGGCTGAGTATCAGCCCATGTAGTATACACTGTTTCTCAAAATTATGCACCAAGAACACTGTGTTGTCTCACAGAACTGCTGAGCAATGCTCTTGACAATGCTGGAACATCATCTCTCTAGGGTTAGGATCAGGGTTCACCATTCTGGCCATTGGAGTGCAAGGACAGAGGCAGCTCTGGCAGTGACTACTGGTAGCACCAGCTGATAAACTTGATTATAGCTGCAGCAGAAACATCTTTCAAAATACAGATGTCCCTCTCTCCCAGCTGCCCCGGGGACTTTGTCCCTGGTGGGTCAGCAGATGCCTGTCCAGGTGATGTTTGCGGCCAAAGCTCTTCTCACAGCGAGGGCACTGGAAGGGCTTCTCCCCAGTGTGGGTCAGCCAATGTCTCACTAGGTGGTGCCTTCGGCCAAAGCTCTTCCCACATTCAGTGCACACGTGGCACTTTGGCACCGGTGCTGCACGCTGCCGTTTCCTAGCCCCAGCATTCTCTCCAATCTCCTGGCCCTTGCAGGATTTGCCTTCTGCATGCACTCTCTGGTGGCTGGCCAAATGGGAGTTGCACCGGAAATTCTTGCCACACTCCGAGCACCTACTGGGCTTATCATGTAGGTGGGTTTTCTGGTGCCTGATTAGGTGATGCCGTCGCCCAAAACTTTTCTCACACTTGAGGCAGCTGTAGGGCCTCTCTCCAGTGTGTATTTGCTGATGCCTGGCAAGGTGGGAGCCCCACACAAACTGTTTCCCACACTGGGGGCACGTATGGGGTCTTAACAGGGAATCCATCCCTGTGTTACACAGGTTTGAGAAGCGATCTTCCTGAAGAAACGGTGGGCCCAGCAGCATTCCTCTGGAGCTCCTGGGTGTGGAATCCCAGCTTTCACCCTGCTCTGGATTCCAGAGAACAGTATCTTCAGACACACTGGATAACATTCTGGGAGGTTCTACTTCTAGTTCAGGGGTGTCCCCTTCTTGCTCACTTCCATCTCCTGTGGAGAAGAGAAAACCCCCCCAAAGGGCATTACAATAGAGTACCTCAGGACCCCAGGTGCTGATATGGTTATATGATGCCAAGCCTCACCCCAGAAGAACTCAGAGAACACTTTCTAATGTACAAGAGAGCGCAAGAGGCATAGAGGTTTTTACGGCTCAGGCTCAGAAGTCAGATGAGCCAAGGTTTAATCTCAGCTATTCTAGTGAACTTCTCTAAGCCTACATTTCTTTTCAAAAGAGGAATGATCTCCCTCTCTCTCCCTGTCTCCCTTCACGCCTCTCTCTCTCTCTCTCTCTCTCTCTGTATTAAGAAGCACAGTATCTATACATAGATATTTACTTAATAAATGGCATATGCTATTATTAGTTATTCACATAACTTATTTACTATTATTTATTATTACTAATTATTACCTTCCCACACAGGAACAGATGGATAAGTGAAGGAAGGTGTTTAATCATCACTGGCTGGATTACCACACATCAGCAATTGTAGAGGCATTGTGAAAGGCATTTGCAAAGTGAGTGGGAGGTTGAAATATAACAACAATAACATTTATTGAGTGCTATATGCTTACACCTGTTTCACTATGGTAACATATTAACACATTTAATTCTCACAATAACTTACAGATGAGGAAACCAAAAACAAATTAACTATTCTCCTGAGGTCTCACAGGTGTGACTCGAATTCAAATTCACAAAATTTAACTCTAGAGCCTGTACTCTAAATAATCCTTCAGCTACCTTGCATTTGAAGCAAAAAAAGAAAAAAAAAATCTCTAAATCTTTCCATCAGAAGGACATGTAATGATGACACCCCAAGAATGGAGAAGGTACTGGTTAAAACTCCATACTAGGTTCTCACCTATATATGTGACCCTCAGGATGTCCCTCTCCTCTAAGTCCTGGGGGTCTGGGACCCATTGTTCTTCTCCTCCTTCTAGTTGAGAAAGCATGTCCAGTTTGGGAATTGGAAATCCTGTCATGGGAAAGGAAAATGGAGGTATCAGTTAGTTCAACAGTTAGTCTATATTTATTTAAAAAGCAATTCCCTAGATTACTCTTTGTGGCTCTAGGTAAAAGAAGGCCACACTCACACCTCTTCTCCCACACTCTGCCACTTATGTTAAATCCTTTGTCCTAAAAAATTACACTCTTTCACTATGAGTCTGTTCTCCTCCATCAAATCCCCCCAGCCCAACTCTCCTTTCTGGTCATAACTTTATTTAAGTCTTACTACAACTATCTTATCCTTTATACTCTCGTCTTCCATCCGATGGTGCCCAAATTTCTAAGGGCCCAGTTCCAAATGTCCCCCTCTCTGCTTTGTAAGAACTTCCAAATTCCCAACCAAGAAGAGCATCGAGATTTTTGCTCCTGAATTCACTATTTGCTATTGTTTTCTTAAAACGATCCTTCATTATTCATTCTCTTAGGATTAGTCCTGGTGAAGGCTTAAGATAGATTCCTGTCAAGAAAAGACCCCATAGCAGACACTACTGAATAGCCCTGAAGGAGACAGCTCTGTCCTCCCAGGGTACAATCTTTTAATAGCTAGGAAGAGCACACAGTACTTACTCAGAGAGACCACTATGCCACAATTTTCCTGCATGACATATTCTCCATAAAAGTCTGTCTGAGAGGGATCTAGGCTCCGCCACTCTTCCTGGGAGAAGCACAATGATACATCCTTGATGGTTACCAGGCCCTGAAAGAAAATATAGAATCATCTGTCAGCAGCTGTTCATTATGGAGCATGTAATTTTGGCATAAAAGTTATAAAAAGCTGTGGTAGAGCAGAGAGGGCAAGAGAAGATCTAGGAAAATTGCCCAGAGATCCCTGGGTAGGGCACATGGTTTTGGTAAAGGGGAATTGAAGAGAGGAATAAAGGTAGATGCTGAAGGAGTGAGTGAGGGTAATGTAACTAGAGGAGCTTCCCTGGTGGGATTATGAGAAAATGGAGGTGCCACAATTCATCCGTCTCCTCGCTTGCCTTATTCTATTTATTGCAGAAATTCTGTATCTCCACTTGATTTTTCCTTTTCTTTCAACAAAATATGATATAAATAAAACATTCTCTTTTGCCTCCCCTGTCAGGCTGTATCTTTATCTTTTTAGGCAGTACAGGATGGTAGTTTGGCCTGGAATTTGAAGCCAAATAACTCTTAGTTTTGCAACATACTAACAATAAAACCTTACACAAATGCTTTACTCTCCCTCTGCTCTATCTTCTTTTCGTAAAATAGAATGTTTGAGTTGTTCCCGGAATTAAATTAGTTAATATACACAAAGCGGTTGGAAAACAGCTCACATGGTAAGGCACTCAGGGAAGATAGCTGCTACTCTTGTTATTATCTTTCAATGGCTTTTATGATGCCTTCTGAATCCAGAATTCTTTTACTTCTTGGGTACTGCTCCTGTTTATAACTTTCTTTCCTTCTTTTCCCTAAATGCCCCATCATCTAGCCAATCATGTTTACTTTCTAGTCTTCCAAGATTTCCTCTTCCTGTCCCTCCCCCCATCTCTTTTTGGTGGTACTGGGGATTAAACCCAGGGCCTTGTGTAAGACTGGCAAGTTCTCTACCACTGAGCTGCATCCTCAGCCCAGCCAGATTTATTTCTTGAAGATAATTTATTGTTCTTAAAACTCCTTGCATATAACCTCAATAATTCCTTTTTTTGGGGGGGGGTTATGCCTCCATTTAATAGCCAAGTGTTTTACAGTCTACTTGGAACAGGACAGAATTTGTTCAGTTATAAGATGAACATATCATTAGTATTTATGTGAACTAACAAATTAATGGGATGATGCCAAAGCTATAAAAGGCAACTGTGATGAGACCTTGGGAGAGGCCAAGGGAAGCACAGCCCACCTGTGATCCGGCTGCAAGAAGTGCAGCTGCCATCTCCCAGTCTCCGGTGCTCCCCTCCTGGGGAATTGCAGGAACCCAGGGAGCAGACTGAGCTGGTGAGGGGAGAGAGGAACCATTAGAGATGGACCATTCCACCCTTTTCCATCTAGCACCTGGGCCCATTTTAAAGGAGCTTAAGCGTCTTATCTTTGCCTATATCTATGCCCACTGGTAAAATTCAAATGCATAAATGTAGGTTAAGAGTCCCTCACTCAAAATGTTCTGTAAGAGTATTGGGTTAAGACAAGCTGGGGCTTGAATTTATATTACTTGAACGTAATTTTTACCAGTAAAGTGCACCTTACTGGATCTCTTCTCTGCCAGCAACAGGGCCACTGTCAATTCCTTCATCTCCCACTTTCACTACCACTAATTATGCACTTGCACAAGGAGGGAGAAATTAGGTAAAAACAGGAGAAGCTCAGTTATACGGCTAAGGGAATCCAGGACTCATTCTGCATCTGAGAGCAGGGTTCAAGAAGAATGACTGGCTCAGTCCTGGCATTGGGTATGCTGTTCACTCCATGGCAATGTGGGAAATTTTACCTCTATTTTTTGAACAGAAACAAGGAGACTACTCTATGCATTCTGCTTCTCAAACCCTCTGTTGGTTCTCACCCTTCTCCTGAAGGGACTGTGGCTCCTCTTCAAGGCCACAGCAGAGGTGCTCCAGTGGCCCCGGTGCTGTTCTCCGTGGCCCTTCCTCCTGGCTTCCCCTTTGCACCTGGGGCTCTGTCCCATCCAGTTGTATATTCATTGACTCCCATCCTGTCCCCAGGGCTGCTTTCTGTTTTGAAAGCATTTTTTTTTCTGAAAGCCCAAATCGTGACCTGGAACAAATCAGTGTCAGCTATGCCCATGAACAGAGAATGAGGTGATACTCCTAAGGAAGTTATGGAGAACATCCCCAGGGGTTAAAGATGAAACCGGATAACAGGAGCTTAATATAAGATTAACATTAAATGCTTGATGTTTTCCAATTAACTGAGCCTGAGCCATGCTTCTTGGAGGAACAAAGAAATTGGCATGTTTTCATAGCAACGTCATTTTGGGGACCTCATGATATAAACAGAATATCCCTGAAGGCTAGAAGAACATCATATATAAAAAAGAACAATCTTGGAAATTCATAGGCTATTTTACCTCAACCACTAAAAGTAGAGGAGCATAAGCAATCTGGAAACATGCAAGAAGGAACACACATAGACCTTCAGTCAACAAAGATAGCTATAATCACACGTAAGATTTTCTTCAGCTATCACATCCTCATCAATTAGTTTTAAAATGACAAATTCCAAAGGTAGAAGTCCCAGCCAAAGAGTTATGTACACATTATGAGCACACACCTCTGTGGCTGAACCAAGTGGTGTTTCACTTAGGAGAAGCTTTAACAAAGAGACACATGACCTGTCACTCTCCTGTAGTAAATATGATAGACCGATAGCTTGGGAAGCAGGTGTAAGACTGACAAAACCCTAAAAGACAAGTGGAATTGTTGGTCAGTGAGAAGTTGAAGTTTAATTCAGAGAAGTAAAAAATAATGGAAAAAATTTGGACTGGGGCTGCTAACATGAATCCGACAGCCCCATGGTTTGAGGTATAAGAACAAACCTGTTTGTTTCGCAAACGCCAGTGTTGGCTAACTAGAAAAATACATTCAATTTTAAAGAAGAGTATGGAGAAGTCAGTGCATGTTTGTCAGAAAAAATTAAGGTCAAGAAAGCAAGAAAGGGATAAGGCCAAGTATGGTGGCACACATCTGTAATCCTAGCATTCTGGGAGGCTGAGGCAGGAAGATTGCAAGCTTAAGCCTAAATCGGGCAATTCAGTGATTTAGCAAGACTCTTGTTTCGAAAGTAAATAAACAGGGGTCAGAATCTAACTCAGTGCAAAGGCTCTGGGTTCAATCTAGCAAAGAAAGAAAAGGTTGATGAATGGAACTACCAATGAATAAAGAGAGAGGTGTTCTCTTTCTCTGTGTAGATTAAGGGGTGGGTCTTGATTGTAAGAGAACAGATTCAGGTTAGATTTTTAAATAATACTACTGAATAATACTACAGTGAACTAGCTCCTTGATGAATCCTCTCCCAAGGCTTTACTTCTAGCTAAGTAACTGGACACATGTCTCAAACCCATTGCTTCATTTCCTCCAGTGAAGATCCCTTAATGGGAATCCTCTCTGCTGAACCCACTGAGCCAGTTGTGTCTGTAGATCCCTGACAGAAAATCTGGGGAAGTGCTGTCAAAAGTCTCAGCAAAGGAAGGGGCTGGCACCTGTCCCCAGCCTGTATTTCCTAAGATGTTTATGGCAGAACCAGCACCAGGGCTGTTAAGGGGCAGCCCTAACTTGGTTTCTCCTAATTCCAGAATGATTCCATGCCTACCAGAGTCTGGGTACTTGGGCTCTTGTTGCCCCCTTTCCTCACATATCTGGGTGGCAAGGCATCTGCAGAGAGAAGTTTTTGCAGCGAGTGCTGCTGGACAGCAAACAGGGCCATGTTACCGAAGAGTGGCCCAAGGGCACAGGGAAGAGTAGAGCCTACAGTCAGAGAAACCTGGCCCCTGCCGCAGGTGGGGCATGGGCGGGACCGGAGCCTGCTGAGGAGTAAGGTTGCTTCTTTCCTCGTTCTTGTCACTGCGCCCCCGGAAAGGGTCGGATTTCAAAGAATCCGAGCCAGGCTTAACTGGAACGGGGAAAGTGAGGCCAGAAAACAGGTTTCCCGCGAGCTGGGTCTTGAACAAGTGGAGAGAAAGGGTGCAGTGGCGGGGTAACCTGTGCGCGACTTATACAGGCGGGAGCCTGCGGGGCCTGACAGCGACGAGGGCTGCTCAGGGACAGGGAGAGGGGACAGCACAGAATGTCATTGGGCCCCCGGGGAAAAGCAGCGACCGGAGGCCGTAGCTTCTTT